AATGGCTGTGTATATATATATATATATATATATATATATATATATATATATATATATATATATATATATATTAAGCTATGTGCTTATATTTTTAAGCTACCTCTCAACTAAAAGCTTCTCCATAGCAAAGACAAATATGTAAAGACATAAAGTGCATCTAATAAGGGTATAAAACAGTCTGTGAATCCAGTTTGTATACACCATTTTATTTTAAATCTTCTAATTAATAATGGATCGACCAGTAACATAATATTGAATTTACAGTTGCAATAGCTGTCCTGCACTTTTTGGTTGCTTTCGTAGTTCTTTTCCTGTAAATCAACTACAATAAAATCAATACATTTCCTTTCTGGATGTCTAATGTCTCTGGGGGTTTGTATTTGTGTGAATACTGACACTTTACCGGCACTTTTCGTTTTAATCTAAAGCTGCAAGGTTTTTTGGTCAAGGAAAGACGGATATGAACTTCAAGAGATAAAAAGGATTCAAGCAGGTGTGAGGACACGCGTTTCCTGTGATAGGCTTGGGTGATGTCCGTCAGGACCTTTGGGAATCTCCTAGGATGTATATTTACACACACAGACACGCATAGCCTATACAGACATATGCATGAGACAGACACATAAAAGCAACTCTGTGGCTGTTGTTGTTTTTCTACTTAAAACACCTTTAAGTGCTCTAGGAAATGTTTTAAAGCTTAGTTCATTTTTCAACTTGTGTACTACAATCTTACAGAACACACACTGTTTTAATCCTAGAGTCAAATTATTGTATGCTTCAGTCTACATTCTTTCCTTAAGATTAGGTGGTGCTTGTATTCTGAAATCTCGCTCATAGGTGACGTTTTGTTCCCATTGTCATCCTTCTGGACTTTGCGGTACCAGATAGAGAGGCTCATATCATGCTAAAGGTTCCATGAGCTTCTGAAACACAGGGATGTGAAATGGCATTATCCCACTGCCTCTCACACCGTCCACGCAAAATGGTTTAAGCCGCAGCGATGCTTCCGTGGGCCACTGGCTAATCCCCTTTCTTGTATAAAACCAGTGGCGGGACCGCTACAGCGCTGGGCAGTGCGATAGTGCACTAGTGTGACAAGCGTACTGTCTGTGTGTTTATTTACATTCTTGTCTTTCAGATCCACCACAGAGCTTTTATTCTTGCCAGCGATCACTCTAGGAAGGTACTCTGATCTGACACCCACAGGCTGCTGTTCTGTCGATGCTCTTTTGCATCAGACATAATGAGACGGGTAGGGGTGGGCATGCTAAGGTTGCGTCATGTGTGTCATATCTTTTGAATGTCCAGTTTTTAAGAGGGTTACTTATGTTTGTATTCTTTCTTTCTTACAAAAGTTAGTTGTAGGGCAGTCAAGCATGTCCAAAAGGTAATTGAGTCCTGTATCAGAATCTACTAATGCCCCCTGGTGGCTTCAAAGACATACTGCAAATTTAAAAGTGTACATGGTTCCTATTAAACTGGGAAAACTAACTTGAAGCAAACCTGTTCAAACATATGACTTTTTTTCACACTTCTGGTTCAACAATTTTACAGTGTATTCTTTGTGCAAAATGTTAATTCTCAGTTGAATCTGACTCACCTGGCCTTCACTGAAATGTGGTCTTGTTTCAGTGGTGCACAAGTAACAGTGGAAACTCAAGATGTTTGACTGCCTCCAGATCACCTTCATCGCCTGGAGTGGGACTGAATTTCATCTTGGTCAAACGAAGAAAAGTGTCATTGCTGTAATACGGATTAGAAAAAAGTAAAAATGTTTGGTGATGTTTCAAACCTTCCTTGAAAATTACTACAGAGAGCATTTAATTACTTTATTGATATTTCTTATAATTTTTAAACTATTTTTAAACTTTAACTTTTAGCAACCTGCTGATACTAGACTGACAAAAAATATTTATATTCATTAAAAAAAAAATTTACTTAAAAAATGCTAAAGGTATTAAGACTGTCTGATATTCTGATAAATGTGTGTTTTTTGCCCATACAGTACAAGTCAAATATAATTTTTTGTTTGGAATGACATGAGGGTGAGTAAATAATGACATCATTTTCATTTTTGGGTAAACTATCCCTTTAACCAGTGGAAATGGAACTTGTTATGGAGCATCCATAGATCAAAACACATTAAGCAGTCTAAAAATATCCATTATTGTTCACTAAAGTGCAGGAGGAGGGAGACCGAGTATCCTGTTCCCATGTGCCTCAATGCGGCTTCCTTTTACCCTTGAAAGCCAGAACCCTCTACAAACGGTGTCAGAGTAATCAGCAGTGACTTGAAATATGTGGCGTCATTGAAATGTGGATTCTGTGACTAATGTTTTTATAATCCTCCTTTGAGCAGTGGCCTGTCTCAAGAAGGCATTGGAGGTATTCAGTTTGCATTCCCTTTTAGGTCAAAATCTGCCTTTATTAGCATAATTTAGGTGAGCTTTCTATGTATGAGGATAATATTAATAATAGTCAAATTGTATTACCATCTCTGTGTAACTCTAAAGAATGCATGATGCCCACTGAAAGCAGGGACAATTTGATTCAGATGCAATTGTTTCTACATCACTGCCTGTATTTCACCACTTAGA